TGAATGAATGAATGAATGAATGAATGAATGAATGAATGAATGAATGAATGAATGAATATCTATCTATCTATCTATCTATCTGTCTGTCTGTCTGTCTGTCTGTCTGTCTGTCTGTCTGTCTGTCATCTCTCCTCTCTCCTCTCTGAGGATGGCTGTTTATCCAGATAGATACACACAAACAATGCCAAGCAGCTCCATGCAACTGAACGAGGTTTGAACGTCTGTAATTGGCGGGGAAGACGCCACCCTTTCCCAAAGACCCAGGATTTTGATCAAGGATGCTTTGGGCTCTGCAAATCTCAAAAAGGCTTAGCAGGACGTCAGGCAGAAGCAGAAGATTATAGGAAAATCATTGGAGAAAAGGGATAGGGCAGCCCAGCCCCACCCGGGAGGCCGAATAGATTGCCGGCCGCCACCGACACCACCAGGACTGTAAAACTTTGGTGGGTAATTTCCAGTTCAGTCTGCCCCCAGCACGGCCCCAGTCAATCCCTCTATCCAGATCGGAGCAAGTGCAGAGGCCACTCAGTTCATCTAGGGAAAAAATGCTTATTTATTAAACGTAAAGACCGAAACAGTTACAGTACCTGGCCCAAAAGGGAATTAAAGAGCTTGCAAAATCAAGGAGAGATTATATATCTATCTACATCTATACATCTATTTACATCTATCAGAACGACACAAAACTTTCCAGAGCTACTGGAACCAGTCCTGTGGGTAATTAGCATGGCCATCCCCAAAGGAAGTGTGTCCCAGCAGCAGGATAGAGATGGAAAGTAGGACACCAGGTGGTCCCTCTTCCATTCTGCACCATGCAGGAAATAATTTGGGGGACAGGGTTCCTGTATCCAAGAACCAGAAGTTATTGTTCAGAGCACCAAACAGAAAGGCTTCTTAAAAAGGGTTAGTCTTTTTACTTCCCCTCCCTTGAGCATTCAGTTATTTTCTTTTAATAGGTATGTAGCAATGTTTTTATATAACAGTAAAAACAGGTTGATTTACAATGACACTAGAATTTCTCTCTGGGTTTCTTCTATCTGTGGCACCAGTCTGTAGCAATATGCATTTATTTGAACAATTATAGATTTTTCCCTCTGCTCAGGAATACACACACACAATCACATACACACATTTTTAGTGCCTCAGAAAAAAGGGATGGTAAATAGCTTATTATTCAAAATAGCTCTGCCCCAGGTTTAGTAAGTGAGCAGAGAGAAAATAGGTAGCTGAGAAAGAAAGAAAGAAAGAAAGAAAGAAAGAAAGAAAGAAAGAAAGAAAGAAAGAA